AAAAAAATCTGAAATGTTTCAGATTTTAAATTACGTCCAAAGGGGCGTTTTTTAACATTTTGTGTGTTACCTTTCTTTATTAAATATCATGTTCCTCGCACTTAAACCATAAGATCCAGTGCAACAGCAATATCGCAAAATAGTTTTAAAACGAGCATATCTTTAGAATTTCCGATACAGAGACTCACGTGCTGGAGATAAAAATGTTTTTTCTGCACAACGTTGCCATTGCTCGCTTTGAAATCCTTGAGTTTTGTTAATCAAAAATCAAAAATTCGTCAAAGTTTGTAAAAAATAGAAAATCGATCATAAAACAAATTTCAAATTTCAAATTTGGTCTTCCCACATGCTCATATTCGTTGGAGGATTACGTTATTCAAAATTCGATGACTCTATGTACCGTTATTTTATGACAATGTGAGAAATATACATACATTTACGCAGATTTTCATTATTATTTTTTATTTCTTGAAATATAATGCAGCAGGACTCTAACATTTTATGGCAACAGTTTTGAAAAGTAAAACCGACATTTATCCGTCCGACGCAAAAATGCCAAAACGAAACTAATAGACCTTCGGGATTCAAATCCCTTTGGACTAAAAAAAAGTAATTATTTTCCATTGTTGAGGTAATGCTTATTCTCTCTTAATAAATACTGCATTTCTCATATTTTAAATTACAAGTCTAATTTTTAAGGTTATGCAGTTGTGTATAATGTAATTAGGTGCTTATTTTTTTTTCTTAAAATGTGCTTGAAAAGTGCTTATAGGTGCTTATTTTTTTTAACTAAAATGTGGCTATGAATGCTGTCATTGCTTTTATTGAAGTATCTCCACCATGTTTCTCCAAGATAACGTGAAAGCATTTACTGTGTGGTATTACTCATTGATCATATCAGATTCTATTTAGCAAATTAGTAAAGAAATAAAATGGCAATGAAATATCAGTTGCATATAATAATTCATTTAGAATAAAAATTAAATGTGCATTCAGTGAGGAAGCCTGACCTTGTTTAGAAACTGTAACTTATCACCCTTGTCTGAGAGTAGTAACATCAGAACAAGCCCATGAATTTATCACGAGGAGAGCAAGATTGTTTCTGTTGTTGGCAAAAACCTTGAGCACCGTACAGATGACAGTACGACTTTGTTCATTACCATCCCCAATTTTGATGGAGAGAGGGGATGAGTCTGAGGGTCTCCAACTCCTTTTTCCTTACTACGAACCTCTTGAGAGGACTTTTTGCCTCGCCATATATTTAGAGTGCTTCTATGCTGCAAAGACACTATACATACATTTACAAACATCCATGCCTTCTGCAGGATTCAGACTGGGGCCCTTCACTACCGCAGTAGGCTTCCCTAATCACTATACTATCTGGGCAGCTGAAAATCCTGTCTCCTAACCATCCTGCTCTATGATGGATTCCAGCCCAGAAGGGTGTCGCCAGAAGTAAAGTGGCTGATGATCTGGCGAAGCAGGCAGTGAACAAAGTTCAAGGTGATCCATTCCCAGAAAATATTAGAGACTAAAAGCAGAGATTACCATATCATTATCATATTTTTCTTAACAGACACCAATAGATCCATTTCAGAAACAGCTAATCATTATTATAATTAGCTATCTTCTCTAAGATAAGCACTTCTTAGAAAATCAAGATCACGAAAAGCTATGTATGGTCATCGTAGAGAAGGCATGCTCTATTTGTATTGTTAATAATTTAATATATGTGTTGGTTTTACTGTAGGTTTGTGCATATTTGTTTTGTGTATTTTTATGTGTAATTGTTTTATTATATTAATGAAATATTGGGCGGTTGCTTAGACTGTATAATAGGCTGCAGGAGATTTTGAACATATGGGTTCTGAAATTGGATAAAGTTGGTGAAATATGGATGAAATTTGTCTTATTTTGGAACAGGGTTCGTACGGTCCTTAAGAGTCCTTAAAAGTCCTTAGATTTTTTGGAATCGATTTTTGGTCCTTAAAAGTCCTTAATTTTGATCAAATTCAACAGAAGGTCCTTAATTTTAATCATCTAAAATTTCTGTCTGTTTTTACGACTGTCATTTTGATGTGAATTGCATTTTGAAGAATATTTTGGCGATTCACTGCCGTATATATGGTAATCTTTTGAATAGATTCATGAGTTGTATTTGTTTCTATTTTAATGTAAAATAATGGGATACTCGCGTTCTAAGCAAGTGAAACATAAGCATTTCGAAATTCATTTTTTTCTAGTAAGAGCTCTTAACACTTTTTGCTTTTGGGGATGTGAATTCTTTTAATTAAACAGTTCTAAATTTGGCAACTTTTCAACATTTTGGCGATTTTAAGATTTGTTTCTTGAAACTTTTTAATTCCAAAATCTGAATTTCAATTTTTTTTTTAAAACAATCTTAACATTGATAAATTTTTAAATAATGGTGTATATTGAAATTATATTTAAAAATACATAAAATAAACGTTTTTATTTGTGCTGTCTATTATAAGTTTCCATTTGCACTTATACAATATTTTTAAATCTGAAAAAAACAAGGGTATAATGCTATAAAAGCACAATTTCGAAAACTCTTAGCAAAAGCAAATTAGCTGTGTAATTAATTAAAAATGTCTTGTTTTTAAGTTTTTTTCATAGTAAGAGTTTTTCCCCCATTTAATTGTCTCAATATTCAAATCCAGAATGTGCAAACATTTTCCTCTCTATAAAATTTAGACTTTTTTCCCTCCTCTTTTTTACAAAATTTGGCTTTTTTTCTGTACAGAAATGTAGGGATATTTTCTTACGATTTTAGACATTGCAGCTTGGGTTTACCAAAGGCTTTGAAACAAATTTTAGAGACCTAGATTCTAGAAGATTCGAGAACAACAAATGAAAAATGCTCCAACATCAACATTTAGTGATGTATTTTACAGAAACCAATGAATTCTTAATTTTGGGGACCCTGTAGAACATTTATTTTACAGGAAGTTTGCAATGAATTTCTTAATTTTGGGAGAAATCTGGAAGAACATGAAAACATAATATTTGAATGTATTACTTCTGATTCTAGACTCTTAACATTTTATATTCTCTTTATTTTCTCTATTTTCATAGAAGCATGGAAAATTCAAAAATGCTTCTGATGTTATATCACATGGGCAGGCATTATAGAAATGGATTTTTTTTTAATAAAGAAATTGAAAACTTACAGTTTAAAAGATCATCTAATATTTCTAATGCATCATACCATAGCTGGCATAGTCATTTTCCCACCTGATGCATCTCTGTGGATCCAAATTCTGCTGCCCCTGCCTTTCTAAATTTCTGCTACCAAACGCTGCTTAAATTCTAAAAGTTTTGCATTTCTAGATTTGGGTTTCGGTGTGTTACTAAATTCTAGAAATTCAGCCACATCAGCTCTGTAACCGTCCTTACTATATATATTTTCATATGCTTCTGAATGTTCATGATACTAAAGAAATAAAATTAGCCGCTTTCTCTGTACTTTCTAAATGCATTTAGTGTTTTTAGAATAACAGACATCCTTAATTAATCCAAAAATTATAAAATGAAAGGAAACGTGTTGAAGAAAGAAACTGAGTACATAAAGAAATATTCTTCAAAATGTGCAGTTTATTATTATGTAAATTAACCATTGTTTAATTTCCAACCTTTACTATAATTTCCACTTTTATTTCCTCATATGATAGAGTTATTGAGCCAGATTAAATTACAATTAAATTGTATAATCTTCGACCACTAGTCCACATTATTAGTTTGAATTTGACGTTTCTGTTAATTACGTCACTGTGAGCTGTAACTGATTTGTTAGCATCAGAACAGCCTTTAATTTTTTAAGTTCTTTGTTAAATAAGAGGCTTATTTAAACCTTGTCTGATATTGTATTATTTCAGACATAGTGATAATATGCTTCGTCTGTCGGGGGTTTTGGACTATTAACTTTTACCAGATCAATTAAAACCCTCATAGGTACATTATGGAGGAGATTGATAAGTTAGGAGATGAAGCACGCAGAAACTAGTGAGAGCATTTATTTGCATATTGAGACAAATCTCTAATTGTTAGAAAAGATTCTTAAAAGAGAAGGAAATTGATATAAACGTTCAAATATGACCAACTATCATAAATGTAAATATTTAATGCTACTTGTAAATTTGCATAGTTTTTTTTATCTCAAACTTATTACAATTATGTAATTAATAATGCGTACCTTAGGGGATCTATTATTTTTAGGATGGTATTATAAAAGTGAAATTCAGGCATAGCTATATTCAATTGAATTTATTCATTCCCGTTGTCTAGTCCTTAATTTTTTCCATTAATGGTCCTTAAAAGTCCTTAAAAGTACTTAATTTCCGTGTGCAGAAATGTGTACGAACCCTGTGGAAGCATCTTTTGACTGCTTCTTTTGCAAAGACTGCCAAAAATTTTTGTTAAGCTGCCATTTCTGCAGAAATTTTGCAGATGGGAACTTTGCTGTCTTTGGCAAGTGTCAGTGTGTTTAATCTTCACTTAATGAAAGTGGTTGTGATTTTAGTATATTTTGTAATATAAGATTATTTTCAATACACATTTCATTTTTGCTTGTTTTTTGTTATCAGTCTGATATCCAGTAAATATTTTGGAACTCAAAGTGGATTTTTCTGCTTGCAGATGGGATTATTTGGTGGTATCTTCACTAATATTTGATATTTTCATTCTTTTCCTCCAACTGTACTAGGTGTAATTACTTACAATAAAAATCAAATTATTGGTTGAACTCCTTAACTTGTGTTTTATTTCAAGAAGAGTGGTTCAAAATAATCTCTCTTTTTATTTTAGGGGGGCAGAAGGCAATTTGAATATTTTTTGCTGGTATATGAAATATGAACCTTTTATATGTGTTTTATTAATTCAAAGGCATAAAAGTTACAATTTTATTAATGAAACATTTTTATCTATAATACAGTTACATGTAACACTTTAAAAAAATGTGTGTGTATTTTTAATTTTAGAAAGATGATATAGAGAATGCTCTTAGACGTAGTAACATGAACTTGGAAGAAGCTTTACGTATGTATCACTTTCTTCTTACTTATTTTGTATAAATGTTTCCTACCTATGTGAATCAGCAATTTAATTTTTGAAATATTTAGTTGTTATACATTGACATTTGAACATTTTACAGGCATTTATGTCAAACTTAAAGCTTGTTTAAAATATTTGTATAATTTTAAAATTTAATTTATATTTACCCACTTTTACAGTTGAACTTCATGCCATGTCTTCTAGCAAAGATGGCTCTATGCTTGATATAGATGGATTAGCTGCAATGAATTTAAATCAGACCCGTGTGCCGCATGGTAATGTTGCTGATGATATAAATTTTGCAGAACATTCTATAGATAACACATTACCTCCTGGAAATATCTATGGTGGTAATGACTTTCCAGGAATGAGTATGTTCTCCACTTATGTTGCTCAAAATTGTAAAAATCAGGTAATATATTTCTATATCATTCATACTATTAAAATGTGTCCATATTTTTTTTTTTCTAATTATGCACATCTTAAATTATATTTAAATCTACATCAATAACTTATTTTACTTTCATTTTTCAGAATGCAGTGGGAAATAACATTGCTCCGAATGTTCTTGGGAGTGCTGGAACAAATAATCAAGTGCCGAATTTTAATTTGAACAATGGCATTAATAACTTAAGCCCGGCAATGATGCGCAAAATACTTCAACAAACTCAAACTTTTAATCCGGTGAGTTTCTGATGAAATCTGAAATGATGATACAGTCAAATACCGAAAATCCGCCGATCTTAAATCTGCCAACTCCTGAAATCCACGTTGCCTCTCAGAATATAAACATTCAGTTTATAGGTTCGGGAAACCGCAAGATTGAGTACGAAATCTCGAAGAAAAAAAACTAAAATACGTAAATTAACGGAATAATATAGTCAAACGGAAATACCAAATTATTGACATAAAAAAGTTTAAAAATAGATGAAATAATAAGATAATTTTTTTTTTTCCCTCTAATTTTCATCGAGTAAAAAAGTAACAACACAGCAAACTCTTTGTTCAAGTCACGATTTCACGTTGTGCATTCTGAGGTTGTTATTTCATTTCACGAGTTGTTTAGTGCTGCCTTTTGGATATTTTTTGGAGAAATAAGAATATTTTAAATTTCATTCTTTGGCAATAACAATGCATTAGAAAATGCAAACTTGAAAACTTAAAAAACTTAACACGGGCATTGACAATGCAAATTTTGCAATCTGCAAAAAGATGGACACAGTCACTCCTTGAGTGAGCAGATGGTAGAATTGCAACCAATGTGTATGCTATATGGAAAAATAAAGAAAAGCGTGAAAGTCACAGCAACAGCGATCTAACCGGAATCCGAAACCAGAATCTTGCATGAGGCGAATCGCTGTGTAAATATAATACATTAATATAATAATTTTATTATGTACTAATAAATATACAATATGTTATAAGAATTAATGTACCGAAACCCTGATTCATTTTGCACTTTTAGTCAGAATATTATGCTTTATCTTTTCTGTCCTGAAATCCGCACAACCTCTGGTCCCAAGCTTTGCGGATTTCTGGACTTCTACTGTATTTATATTTTAAGTAAATGACTATTATAAGATATTTTTGATGCAGTTGTGATTCTTTATTTTTTTACTTTTTTAATCAACTAGAGCTGCCTTCCTCAAAATACTGGACGTATGGCCCAACAGAACTTTCCTTCAACTGCTCAATTACGTCATCTTGTGCAGCAAATCCAAATGGCAGTACAAGCTGGTCATTTAAATCCCACAGTATGCACTTTTATGATCTGTATTAAAATAAGAAACTTTTTAATTTCATTTAAAAATTCTGTTTTGTAATGAAGTATAAAGTTCTATTTAACTATGTACGGTTATTATTTAAATTAACCAGTTATTTATAACTTCTCGTTTCCGTGTCCTCACCAGAATGTAAAAGAATTATTTAATGTTTAAATTTAGGTTTTTGGTTTTTAAGACAGCATGTTTCTGGTCTACTAGCTTTGGTAGTCGTAATTATTTATCTTTTCATTATTCCGCTGCCAACAATTTGATTTTGATGCTGTGATTAGAATAACTGTGCCTGTGTGTTACTTAGAGGGTATTTAGATTGTTGCCTTTTAATGAGTTGTGGCTGATGTGGTTAGCACAAGAAAGTATATATGTTCAAATTTCTGTTTAATAAAAAGGTTATTAACCCTCTCACTGCGCACGTTTTTCTATAAAAGTAGGTTAAAAAATTGCGTATTTTTTTAATTACATATTTCAAATCTACATATATTTTAGAGTTAAAATGTGCAAAAATTTTTTGTAAAAGAGGTTTTTTTTTTTCCAATATTGAATTAGATCATAGAAAAAGGTTGTCAGAATACTTAAATTGAAGACTAATGATATAAAAGGAAAATTTTGAAATTTAATATTTATTAAATTATGATTTATTTTATAAAATACAAAGGTAAAACATATATCTAAGAAAATAATTGCATAAGTTATTTTGAATATCAATTTTGCACCAAGTCGAATGTTTCAATAGAATTGAATTTTCAGATCATCACTACCTCAGAGGAATTCGAGAAACGCTCATCAGTTTTGCTATCACTTATCTTAATATAATTGAAATCAGAAGAACTAATATCAGTGTCGGAAAGCATCGGTAAGGTTATCACTCGCAAAATGCTTCCTGCCAGACATCTTTGAGCTCTGAAAAGCACGTGCAAAATGGCTACATTACGTATTCTTGTATATTTGGCAGAAATGTGAACAACTAATGACATCTGTTAGCCCACATCAAAATAAAAAATTAAACATCACAGAAAGCCGAAAGGAAACCTTGAACTGTCGGGTTGCACAGTTAAATAGACGGCAAAAATTCATCTCCGCGGAAATCGCAGGATGCGCAGCGAGAGGGTTAAAACCTTATCATGAGTTGTAGTTACTTCAGATTTATTGATAATTCACTTCATGTCTGATGGGGTTATTAGATCAAGTAAAACCTCATAACTAACCTATTTAGGACAAAGCTATTTTGGATGAAGCTTCCCCCCAAGATAATTCTTAAGAGTTATTGCTAATTCAGCAATGGAAGTAAAAATAAGAACCTATAAACAGTGTTCAACAAAAGTTTGCATTACATTTAAGGATCTGTAATATAAAACATCTTCATACATGTTTCTTATTGAAATGATAAACGATCTTCCTTTGAGTTCCCCCTCCCCCCTTCGTTACTTTCTGTGTTTTAGATCAAGCTAACCTGATAGTGTATAAAAAGCTAAAATAATGACCAAATCATCCTTTTTGGGGGGTCTGGTTTTCAAATTATCTATATACTCTGCAAGTATCATCATCATCATCTGCAGATGTCTCTTTCCCCCCCACACACACACATTTTGCTTTAACAGTCAATGGTTGCTTTCCATACTTGAGATATTTTCTTAATGGTTTTTTTCTGCTGGAAATTGGTTGATGTTGTACCAATAGAGACATTCAATAGCTGAAGTGACCTGTTATCCAGACCTTTCCATTTCTAAAATAATGCTCAACATAGCAGAAACTTTCATAATGATAATCTCAGCAAAACTTAAAATACATGTGCTGAATACTTGGTGAACCAAAATGTTTTGTTAATATCCAGGGCAATGAAAATTTAGCTGCTACCAATAACCCTCTATCTTTCTTTGGGGAGGGGGTAGAGCAAATGCATTATGATAATTGGTCAAGAATGAGTGAGTGCTTTTCTCAGAGTGGACTTGGGGTTATTGCAGTTTTGCTAGATATGCCTAAAATGATATCCTTTCACATTGGTCTTCAAATGACTGACATGCATATTGTTACATTATTAAATAAAGCTTTAGAAATTAAATATTACTTCCTTAAAATCTATTTTTTACCCAATTTATTTTTTTTCCGCATGGTAGTATTCCTATTTCATTGCACAGTTTCTAAAATACAGTGCGTAGAAATTAAGGGACTTTATTCTTGGGCATATGCATATTCTTTTCATTAAAGTGTTTTCAGATTATATTAACCTTAAGTGTCATGACAGCTGCTGTAGATTCATCTCTTTCAATTTGATATATGGCAACTCAAAACAGTAAGGCAATTCCCTTCACTGTTATATATACAATAATGTAAGAAATTATTTCCTTTCTTTTTACAAGAATCCTGCAGAAATCCCATCTTGGAATATTGTTAACATCAGTGTCTAGCTATATATATATTTATTCAGAGAATGGTAAAAAATTCTTTAGGGTTTCCTAAAAATTTTTTCATAATTTATTGGAATCTTTGATATTTCCTTTTTTGTTAAAATAATTCTTTTCATACAGTCTTAATTTTTAATTGATATAATTTGTATATATGTGTATTATGTACATTGATATCACTTTGTTTTCATTGTAAAAATGTACATTTTCAGAGTTGCCAGTCCAGCTTTGCCGATTTAGGCGGGAGTCATCTGATTTCTGATCATACTCTCTTCAATCCGATTTACAACATATTTCTCCTGACTTTCTCTTATTCTTCAGAATTTCTGATGATTTTTATATAGCTTAGATTAATACATAATTCATTATTTGCACCCACCCCAAAAAAAGGATTTTGGATGACTTGAAAGTGCTTGCTTTTTCTGTAGCTTACATTTAAAAGAAAACCTAAATTGTTTCAGCAGTGAGACATTTTGATGTGCTTCTGCTTTGTGTGTGAGAATAATGCATGTGCCTGAAAACATTTTGTTCGAGTTCTTCAATGATCATCAAGCACCATTACAGGTCATCTGGCTTATATTAGCCAATACGACAAGGCAGTTCAAAGTTGTTTCTCGTTTGTCTTGCCACTGAGCACTATGAGTTTCAAGTGCTTTCAAGAAGTAGTTTAAGAAATTGCATTGCAATTTTTCAGTTTCGCTCAGTGGAAAAGCCGTTGATCATAAACATATGCATACACAAGGACAGGTGTGTTGAAAAAACATAAAATTTAAACACTAGAAACAAAGGACCAAAACGTTACTAATGCAAAATGCCTATTCTCTGTCTTTTTACTGGAGCATAATCTGCCACTAATGCCATGCTGTTGTTTTATTTAGAAAAATATTTCCTGATACCTAATTCACTGAGAAATGCTCAAGCACATGGATAAAAATGGCTGCAATTGCTAAAGAAATGGATAAATCTTCAGTTATTGATTGCATTAAACTGCTTCATTTTGCCTCTGTATGGATGGAAGCTATAATGCTGCTGTAAAACTGTATCCAAATGTTGTTCCCTTTTTTAACCCAGAGTCTTCAGAAATTGAGTGGTGTTTATTTTCTGTCCCAGCTTTAGGAGGAAATTCAACAGGCTTTAATATAGCACAGCTAATTATTAAAACTTTAAAAGAAAGGTCAGTTCCTCTGGATAATTGCTTAGGCTTTGGTGCTGACAGTGTACCAATAATGGCAGGCTTGAAGGCATCATAAAAAATGAAAA